TACATGATGTGAATAGGGTGTTATGTAATCATCATCTGTTCGATATTTCACAGGACGATTTCTCAGTTGTTCATAACTTAAAAAGTTCATATAAGCATGGGTCCGCAAGGCTTCCATTTTTGAGATGCATGGTGTTGGAAATTCTTTTTTATTACTGTTTTCTCTGGATAAATTTTAAAATAATGTCGATATATGAAAAAAATGGTATTTGGGGTCTATTTAGTAAGACAACTTCAAATTTGGTTTCAATTTGGCACTCAATTGTAGGAGGCGCCACCTACGGGTTCTGGTCTCTTTAAGAAAGTCACAACTTTGTCCTGCATGTATATATCACATGTATCTAGGAAAAAATCTATTCCTCTATTATTGTCTTGCTTTTCATAAAAGCACCCCCGTAACCTCCGCAAATACTTTGAAATATAATTCTACGCCAATCAAAAATACCAGTTTTTCTATTGAAATTGAATTCAATTCTTACTTGACGTTTGACTGAATGTGAGGAATAAATTAATGTTTGAGTTGGACGGTTCACCCGTTTACAATTATGGAACAAGCAGGGAATGGCTCAACAGAAACCTACCTAGAAGTGGATTGGACCTAAAAGCCCTCTCGTGATGTGGCCCCCAAGTTTCCCTGATCTCACCCCACTAGACTTCATTACTCGTGAAGATCTCAGTGCGAGAATAGTCGAGGTACGCCAAGAAGTTACACCTGGAGAACTATGAAACGTGGTTGTAAATAATAGAAAACGAAAAGAAAAATGTATTCTCTTTCTATGGAGGATTCATAGAAGGTACAATCATTCGTCATTGTTGAAATCAGTGGTACTTATACATGGGAAACATGAGAACTGTCTTCAGTTATTTGCAGTGGGATATATTTTATATTGAATTTTTCTCACTTAAATGAAAAGAACAAAAATACTTTTGTCTAAATACCACTGGTAAATTCAATGTATACGACCGGTTTCGGGTTTGACCCATTATCAAGTATAAAACAGTTTTAATAAAATTTACCAGTAGTATTTAGACAAAAGTATTTTTATTCATTTCATTTGAGTGATCACGAATTACCATAAAGTAAGCAACTCATCAATCACACATATTAAATTTTTCTCAACCTTGAAACTTCAGTATGTTGAATTGACTTTGAATGGTGCCATTATATTTTCTCACCTTTATAAAATTGTATTATTTTTGCAGATGTTTTTTCATTTAATTGCTTGACTACCAAGGAACAACATTATTTAATATCAATTATTTTTCTGGATAATCAAATAGACAACTTCTCGATGAAAATCAGATATTTTCGTTTCAAAAGTTAGTAATTATAGAAAAAGTATATGACAAGTGAAATACACAAATATGAACAATATCTTGTTCTTTGTTAAAAGTTTCGAAATAATTTTAAAACATGAATCAACATTGGAAAATAGTCGATTGTTAACCCAAATGACTTTTTAAAATCATTTTACTATGATGAATGAATTCATGTTGTAGTACGAAACGTCAAGTAAGAATCAAATTCAATTTCAATTGAAAAATTGAGATCACTGATTGATGTAGAATTATATTTCAAAGTTTGTTGTCGGCAGTTCCATTGCGACTGGCGGTTATAGCACTTGGATCAACACTATTGAGCCGGTAAGTGAATTTTCAATATTTCCATCAGTCCTCGATAATTATGGAAGTCATAGGGGTGTTTCCATGAGGAGTGAGACAAATTTAGATTTTTCAGGTCTGAAATTTTTCCAGAAAAAAAGTTATATCTGTAGTAATTTGGGGGTCCCGATCACAAATATGAGGAACTTTCAGCCTATTTGGTGTCCTAGTATGATTTACCTTATAAATAAGTTCTTCCATCGCGATTGGCGGGCAGTGTATATCTTTCAAGCCAGACGATTTAGCCGGTAAATGTATTTTCAGCATTTTCATCGAGTTTCATTATTTTACCTCGATAATTACGGAAGTTGATGGTGCTTCCATGAAAAGTGAGCCACACTGTATATCATCTTTTCCATTCCAAATAAAAGGGGGGTTGCTGATAAGACGGAGGGGGTTCCATCAAAGTATACTTTGATTTGGTTTTCAATCTTGTATATAAGTACCACAAAGTTTTTTATAATTTCAGGAAAATTTATCAATGTTGTCAAAATTGAGTTCTGAGTCATCATTGAAGTAACACATATACAATAAATTCATGAGACTCAAATTGCAGAATCAGTTTCCAATTCAAATATTACTGAAAAACTTCAATGAAAGTGCTGGGTGAGCCACGCCCTGCAACGGAGGGATTTTGGAAATCGTTGTCGAGTCAGGTGTCACCCCAGAAGTGCAGAGTGCTTCTAAATGCCAACTTATACGTGTCAAAAGGTTATGTAACTTCAAGCGCAGTATTACTAACGGAACCTTCGAGATAATTTGTGCCCCCTTTTCCTATGAAGCCTTGTCACGGTAATGCGGTAACGGACCTTTTTTTTGAGCTACTCATTGCACTCTATGAATCATGAAGTAACAAAAATATATGATTCTGCTGAAGAGATGAAAGACGTTGACTTAATTATCCCACCTGTTCTCCCTGTAACATCGAATCAAGAGCTTCTCAGTTCCCCAACTCTTCAACCTAGGGGGGTTCGTCGTTCGATGCGACTAAAACCTGCTGATGAGCAGAATATCCCTTGACTCTGCTTCGAATCAATTCCTCATGCAGGTCAGCAAACCTCATGCTTGAACGAGGATTCTACCAAACTAACAATCTGAGTGGAAGTGAAATCTGTAAGTATGCCAATCTTTCTGTCGTAGATGATATTCCAGGAGTAGGTGAAGAGGTATGATTTTGGAGTGATTCAAGAGCGTTTTCTGGCTGATGGGTGAGTACCTTGTAGATACTGGTGGACATTTTCCTAAAATGCCTTATATGATACTTACTTCCCTAATCACACTTTTGGTGTGGCCCAAACTGTAGTCATAAACTGGTTTACGATCAGGTCCTCAATAGATCAAGTGAAATGTAGGTGCTATAGTTTATGTTCTTTACGGTGGATTTTTATCCACACATACTCTATTTCTGCTTCGCTTGAATCGGATCAGATTTTCAGCATTTGATACCGGCTGACCTGAAAAATCACTCACCAAATAAAGTGATTGTGGCCTATTCAAAAAAATGGATGTATTTGGTTGAGTTTCAATAGGTGTGAACCTTTTAGAGTTGCAGTGAGACATCGAATACACCCACCCACCTAGGACCTACCTAGAAACACCTAGAACTATTAGGTATGCTACTGAAGAACACTAAATTTATATTTCTTCACTATGAGATGCCTTCGTGACTTATGCTGAAATTTGCACTCCAAGGGGTAGTCGACACTTCTGAGAATTGCGGTCTATAAAAGAAGGACGACATGTGAACTCGAACACTGATTTCTACATTATATTCACCATTACTAAAAAGGATATGGAATAAAGTTTTTTTTTCGGTAAGATCAAATGAATTTTCTATATGTTCATCCAATCTATATTCCTCAATTGCCGTAACCATAGAATATGTTTTTAACCGCCCCCTTTGAGAACATTCTCCAAATAACTCGTTCAAATACCTCAGAGCATAATAAAACTCTCTTTTTCATCGCGTTTTGAAACCCGATCTGTTACTCTAGCACTTATCCTGTCTCAAAACATACTGAATCATTAATCGCATACTTCACAAACAACTCCTTTCGTTGGAAAAACTCCCGTTTTCGCTGGTGTAACTTTATCGCGTTTCATTACCCCGAGCTGAAACAACTTACATTCACGGCGAGATAAGATGCCAAATTACTTCTTAAGTAGAGTTTAAAGCATGGAATAGCTGGAAGTGGAATATTATTGTCATCAGGTGAGGTGTGAAGTTAATCTCGGGCCCGAAAAGCGAGAGGAGATCAGTACGATTCTTTTTTGAATGAATATGAGGAGAATAATATCTTGTTTTACGAAATGAAGGAAGTTTTATCAAAATAACGGGGACGAATGTTCAACTTTCAAATAATTGATTGTTTGGAATGATATAAAAATAATATAAGAAAAATTAAATGAGTTCGATACAAAGGAATGTATCAAATATGTTCATTTTCACCCATCAAGGGCCCTGTCAACTGGGAGGTGAACTTTGCGATGAGCATTCACGTCATGTGAATTGTATGAAGTAGTAAATTAACAGGTTTCATTCAGTATAAATCTTCTCTTCTGTTTTAGAAAGTATGTTTCTGAAAATTATTTTCCATTCAATTTTTTCATTTCAGTTATACCCACACAGCACTAGATATTCATGGAATATTCACTGTATATCATAAAACGAACGTATATATTCCAAATATTCATAGAATATTCTTGGAATATATACATGCCTTTAGAATATTCATAGAATATGCTTGAATGAATATGGCAGGATTATTCCCGAAACAATGTGCATAGAATGTCTATAAATGGATTATTCTCCCTTGAATATTCTAAGAATATTGTCGCTCGAATATACCATATGGTATATTCTTAGAATATATCCTCACGGTATATTTTGGAATATTCTATACAATGGAATTTTGAATTATCTTATAATAACGTATTCGAATAATTCAATATTATTAAAAACAAAAATATTTGAAGATCTTAATCGAATGCATAACCTAATGTATATAACCCTGATAGTGTTAACCAGTTTTTGAACTCAACGCAAAGATTCTGGATGAATTGCTCCAACAGCAACTGTTGGAAACGACAAAAAAATTTGAATGGGCCAATAAATGAACCAATTGCATCAATAAATTGGTTAATTCTCATCCTATTTGTCTTTTTGTATTTGAAATTATTTAATTACAAAGCGAAAAATCCTGGAAACAGAGAAATGGGAAAGTGAATAATTGGAGTAAACGTTTCTCATTGGTCAATTGAAGTGTAGCGCGCCACAGTCGAATAAGCTCTGTGAAAGCGCGTTTGCGTTAAATTCGACATTTGATTCAACATGGCGGTTGACGTGGCAGGTTCGCGTGTGTAATGTATGGTGTGTTGGTGTTATTATCAAAGTATAATTCTGTCACGTTCAGTGTACCATTTATAATTTGGGGTTGTCCAATTTGCAGTACAGCGAATAGTTTGATTTTGGATCTTCAAACAGGAGAGTTGCATCTATTCAGTCTTCAAGAAAAGTGAGTAAAATGCAATAGTATCGATAGTAAAGTTATGGTGATTAACCTACTATACCTCATTTTAGGTTCGAGGAGAGTTGGTGTGTGGGATTTGTTGGTTTGACTAAGTACATGTTTGAACTAGAGTGATTTCAGTTGTGTATCTTCAATAGAGAAAAGTAAGTGAATGACACATTCTTTTGTATCATTTGTTTTCATAATTTTTATCACTCGTTTTCAAGATAGTATCAATTTGCCCAAAAGGAAATAGAGTGGTACCTGGTACAGGCAGGTGCGCCAAGGAACTGAAAACGTAATGATTACTTTTTTACAAGACAATGCATGTTGTTCTCCAAGTCATAAAATGTTGTAAATGTTCATGAGTAATATATGCGAAATATATCTATTTGATTTTTATTCCAGTTTTATTGTGCCACTTTCAAATAGTGATAATGAACGTTAATGTACATTTTGTTCCAGGTATTACTATTGAAACACTGGCTGATGCATTGTTGGACAAATATAAGGAAAACTTTTCTGGTGAGCAAAGTTTGAATAACTTTAAGTAAGTGAAATTCATTGAAGAACCCATCATACCACTCATTTTAAATACTTCATTTGTGGGTTTATTTTTCTAAGTGAGAAACCTAACCTAACCTATTTCTTGATGTAATACACTTTTTCTTTTTCAATGAAATGATATATTTATTATTTTGTAATTAGTGCTGATGAATTCACAGAGTTATTATTTTAGCATATTTTTTAGTATACATTTGTTTGAGAGTAGGAACATCCTAATTTGAATACATTTCTAATATTTGTAATATGACAGTATTCAGGAATATTTTATTCAGTGAATAAATATTTTGAATTAGATTTTTTATTTTTAATATTGGTTGAAACGTCAAATATTTGAGTGTATATTGTTTTTAAAATATATTTGTTTATGAATATTATGTGTTTTATTACTTGTGTGAATCTCGTCACATTCTTGGAATATTCCAAATATTCCTAGAATATTCATAAAATATATTTAAAGAATATTCTATGGTGTTTCTCTATTGTATATTCCTACAATAAACTAAGAATATCCTGAATATTTTATGAATATTCCTCGGGTTCTATTCCTGGAATATTCTTAGTAGAATATACCTTAGATATTCTAAGAATATTATAAGATATTCCAAGAATATTCCCAAGGAATATTTTTAAAATATATCAAAGGTTCGCCAGGAGTACTTCCAAGGAATATTCTCCAGAAGATATATATATATATCCATGGCATATTCATAGCATAATACAATATCCTTAAATGTATATTCATGAAATATACCTGGAATATCTATTGCTATGTGGGTAATTGTATATGTTCCTTAGTCATTCGATGTGTCATTGTTGCATCATCCTATAAACAGCACCAAACTCTCCCTAACTTTTTTCAGATGAAAACTCTTCAAAATTAATGTTTCTTATCTCGTTTGGACCCTTTCATTGATGTCCGTATCATATGGGAGCATAAAGAGTGTCCAAAAGCTTTTTATCTTCAGGGGACCGCCATATTGACATCATTAGATTTTTAGTATTTCTTCAAGAAATTTATTCCATTCGATATCCGTGTCACGAAAGTGCTGGAAAAAATTGGTCCACCATCTTGTGCGGTCCGCCATATTAGTTGTGGAATTACATCATTCAGCTACCCGTGCTTGTCATCCAAACTGAATATGTATGCAAAATTTAAACTTATGAGGTTGTATTTTGGATGTGCAGTTAATTGAAAAATTAACGGAATTAAAAAAAATTACTCTTATAAATTCACAATTGAGAACACAATAAACCTTGAAACAATAAACATAATCTATGTTCAACATTCAGTTTTTCCGATAAGCTGTTAGATTTTTGATTGTAGAGCCATCTTTGGTGAAAATACTTTCCTATACATGAATTGCAAGTGAAAGAAAGATTGGGAAACATCAAAATCAACGGAAGATGATGAATACGAAATTTTGTTTGTACATGTAGTCACCATCCTTTTCTACTAAAAAAATGTTGCCTAGTTTCACTGGAACACACAAACTAAATTTCCTCTCCAAAAATATACCAATAATGTTTCTGAAAGTTTATACTCGAGCTGCGCTCTTGAACAATTTGCGGGTCATGAATGCTCGATTTATTTTCAGAGAAATCGTCTCATATAATATCCGATGACCATTTCCTCCATTGTCGTTTTAAAATCGTCTACTCATACGTCTTTTCTGAAACGTTTTATTACATCGTTTTCCGGGAACACAAAACGAAATCTTCAGAAAACACTTGTCATTCGTTTACAGCGAAATTTCAATTATTTTCCAGACACGGATATTAATTAAGTGGCACCTAGACTCTCTTCGAATATAATAACAAGGAATAATTACAGCAGAACGAGGCGTTTTGGAACAACGAATCAACGTTCAGTTTCAACCTATGGAGTAATTATCTTCTTTGTTAAATTATTTACCCGCCTTGGAGCAGATCTGCAATTTACGATAAACGAGATTCTGTTTGTGTTTCACATACAATTACTTCAATCCTGCTCTTACACAAGGAAGAGATTGTCTTATTTCAGTGTTCTCAACAATGGTATGGAAACCTGGAGCGAAATACAAAGAAAAAGTTACAAGCTAGTAATTGTCAGTGGGCCGTGTTCAAACCCTGCGAGTCTCAATATAATTCGGAGACAAACAGTTTTCGAATGCAGGGTTGGTAGTGAGAATATAAAAACTATTATTTCTGTAGCTGAAAAGGTACATTCATAATATTTACTGTTTGAAAAAGTGAGGACGAAAGAGAGTGGGTGACTTTTTCTCACACAAAATTTATCTGAACTGATATTATCTATTCATTTATTTTATTTATTTCTACAAGCCATAAAGATACAAACATATGAAATCTATTAATGTATTCACTTCTCATTTTATGAAATACTTATAATACGTATACATATATCTACACTTATACTACTAACACCACAACGTATAAACAAACAGCATGACATGACACGTAACATTTATTTTTTTAAAGGCAAAACACAAGCACTACAGAAAAATCCGTAAAGCGCTCTTATAACGGTGCCTGTGCGAAAGTAATGATTCACATTGGATTTGAATCGCAGGAGAACAATTTCATTTGGAAAAACATTCTCAGGAAGTTTGTTCTATATAAACGCCGTTCTCCAAATGAAACAGTTTTCAAACAGTAAAGTTCGAGGTGTACTGACTTGAACCTCGAAACGATGAGCAGCCATGGTTCGTCGCGTATTTCCGATATGTACCGCTCTTGCTGGAATCAAAGGTGCCAAGTCCCTTGAACACTTTCCGTGACAGTATATATAGAAGAGAGACAAATCACCAAACTTTCTTAGATGTTTCAGACTATCAAGGTTGCAAGTGATGTTCGCGTCTGCAATCAGGCGGACGGCTCTTTTCTGAATGGAGTCTTATGAACGTAGCCCGGCTCCATGTGGTTTTACCCAGGTGAGGGCAGGGAATATGGAATATCCGGTATCAAAGTGGCACGGTAACATGATCCACTCCTATGCATGAACACATAGTGAAGCTTCAAAAGAACTATTTCATCAGTTCGGATTTCCATTGTCTCATATAACATAAATTGATTTGAAATCCCTGAAAAAAAAATAAAAAATTAACCGAAAATAACAATTTTATTAAACAAATAACTGAAATTACAAAGAAATACCATAAAAGCAATAACCAAAAAAATTGATGGCTTCATTCCGCACGAACCAAGGAGCATTCACAATCATCTTAATTATCTTATTTTGCAACCTTTCCAAACCGGAAATGTTGGACGGAGCCGCTTGTCCCCAGACGCCTAAAGCGTACATGATGACAGGCTTGAACATCGTGTTATAGATCATGATTTTGTTCTTCGTGCTCATTTTTGATTTTCTGTTCATCAGAGGGTACAGACGGCTATCCGACCCTCGATCTTAGATTTGACGTACATAATGTGCGGGTTCCAAGTGAGCCTACGGTCTATCAAAAGGCCGAGGTACTTTACCCGCGCTTGCCAGTCAATCTCCCTTCCAGAGATTCTCACTTTTCTGGCCGGAGAAGATAGTAATCTTCCCATGGTTATCGCCTGAGTCTTTTCCGGGTTTACTCGGATCTTCCAATCGAGGTACCAGCGCTCGAGGTCGTCCAATGCACGGTAGACGACGCCGAGCTCTCGACCCATGCAAGATGAGAGAAGAGCCGTGTCATCGGCGTACAGGGATATCTTCACTCGTTCGGACCTAGGCAGGTCGCTGGTATGGAGTGAATACAGTGTCGGAGAGAGCACGGTCCCATGTGACACTCCAGCGAGGATCTCTCTACTCTCAGACAGAGAGCCCTCTACTATGACCTGAAAAGTTCTGTCTTTTAGGAAAGACCCGATCCACCGGATCAGGCCCCGAGGTAGGTCGGACGCGTTTAGCTTGTGCAGAAGACCTTCGTGCCATACTCGGTCGAAGGCCTTCGAAATGTCTTACAGCACAATATCCACTTTTTTGTTAGTGTTTAGCTCGATGATGGTGATTTCGACCAACCTTAGAGCCTGTAATTCAGTGGAGTGATCTCTACTGAAGCCGAATTGTTCGTTAGGCAGAACATTTCGGTCCTCAACTTCTTCGTTGAGTCTTTGCAGTACGACTTTTTCAGCCAGCTTAGCCGCCGACGAGAGTAGACTGATTGGGCGATAGTTCTGCGGGAACAGCTGGTTCTGACCCTGTTTTGGGAGCATGACGACGATCGCATGCTTCCATCTTCTAGGGAAGTGTCTGAGGGCGAACGAACTGTTGATTATATTTAGAAGAATTTCGACGCAGTTTTTCGGGAGCCTCTTCAACAACTTGTTGGTTATTGAGCCGGCCCCCGGAGCTTTCTTGGCCTTTGCAGCCTTGATATGACCCTTCAGCTCTTCCATAGAAGCCGGACGGATGTCGTCGTCATCATCTTCCCTGAGGAGTCGGTGAACCCGGTCTTCCAGCAGAATATCGCGATCGATGTCGTCATCGTCGTCAACGTTAAGTTGAAACCGACGTTCCATCGTGTCTGCAAAGGCTAACACCTTGTCGGAGGGGGAGTAGCTCACTCCGCGCTCTCTGTGAATGGGTGAGAGAGCAGTGTTCTTTCCCCTGAGCCTACGAGTGACTCGCCAAAGCTCGTCACTCCCAGGTTCGAAGGATTCCAAGAGCTCTTCCCACCTTTCGATTCGGTTGGACTTATTCCTCCGAGATCTCACTATTTATAGGTCATTCGAGTGCTATCACCAATCCCCTCTTCTTTCTTTCCGTTTCATTGGTTTTAGCGGGACATGACCGTTAGGCGTGAGTTGGTAGATTTTCGCTTGATTACACAGTAAAAAGTATTTTTTTAAAAGAAGATCATAGGTTGCTTTGAAATTTTTATCTCTATCGGAAAAACTATTACTTTATGCCAACATCGCCATTTTCCACCAGAAAGTCACACTTTTTTCAACAAAGGAATCAAATTTCTTGGCCTTTCAACAACATCATTCATTTGATTATATCATTGCGAAAATGAACTATTTTGAATCAAGAAAAAATAATACCATCTCAAAATCCACCACCTATTTGAAGGGAAAAATAAACTGTGTCAAATGGAGAGCAATATCAACTTGATCTAAACACATAGTGTTTGTTTGGATTTGATACTGTTTCCCTTCAAATAACTCAATTCATTTATAACAAGAGTTAAGCAAGATGTAAGCATCGCTTTCGCGCCAGTATATTTGAAAGTGATGTTGGTGTGTTGCGATTTTGAGGAGGAAGTGTTTTATGTGTCTGTAGGCAGTGCAATTTCTTTCCGATTATTTTGTATCTACCATATTGGAATATATTTTACAAGACTGGGGACTTGCACAGTGGAGAGATATTTTCATGGGTAAATATTAT